TTATATGTTATGTTATGTTATGTTATGTTATGTTATTTTTATAAATTTTATTTTAATACTTTAATACTTATTTTATATTATTTTATATTATTTATTTTATTTTAAATTAACATTACAGTTAAAAACAGCGGTACAAGTAATTAGAATTCCTCCCAGCAAACTTCAGCATTAACAGAACTCCTCAAATTCCTTAAACAAAGAACTTTTAACAACAAATCCAGCTCAAATTTCTCCTTTAAATGGATGAAGTGAGAGAAATCTGCCCAAAATCAGGTAAAACCCTGCCCCAGGTGTCAGAGTCTGAGACACAAATTCCTCAAAGGATACAATCCAGCAGGAGTTTGGTGAGTGAGTGATATGCTGACAAATCTTGCATTTTTGGGATTTGATTGTGTGAAAAATCTACTTCCTAAAGGAAAAAAAAAAGAAAGAGAGGAATTTGGGGTTATTTCTTCAGCACTTACTCTGGCTGGGAGTTTGCTGAGTGTTCCACCTTCCCACCATATGCAGGGGTTCAGTGGGGAAGAAAATAAAAGGGCATAAATAAAATACAAATAAATAAACAAAAATATAAACAAAATACTCATTAATATAAATATAAGGCATAAATAAAAGACAGACCCAAATGAACCTGGAAAAGCAAAATGGAAAAGTAAAATGTGAACTGAGGTAAGAAAGAAGGATAAAAATTGACTTTTGCCTATGCTCAAACACGCAAGATTTAACTTAGATTCAGAAAATGGTTTTGGGTTTAAAACTTTAAAATGTTTTTTTTTTGCAGACTTACCTTGAGGTTTTTAGGTGCTTTAAAACTGAAATACGTGGTCAGTTTGTTTTTGGAAGCATTCAGCTCTACTAAATAAGGCATGTGACTGATACAGGAAAGATCTAGAAATGAAACAAAATGTCAAATCCTGTGCCTGAATGCAAAGATCATCACGGCAAAATGTGATAATTACATCCTGGAGCAATTAAGAGTCAATTTGGAGCTGCACATTCAGAAAGTGATGCCTAAAGTGCAGAAATCAGATACATTAACACCTTCTCCTAGAGGAAACAAAAAAAAATGGTTTATAAACCACAAAGAATAAATATCTGAGTTCGACATTCAATTTTCATTACGCCAGCTGACTTGCCTTTAAGCAAGAAATTATTTTTATATTCTATCCACCTCTAGAAGGATAGATTCACTCTGTCCTGAGTTATCAATTAGTGGAGAAAAGCATTTAGGCCACAACTGAGGAGTAAATGAGTGGTTGCTATGGAAAAGTCCCTGCTCTGTTCATATCTGGCCTCCACAGGAAAAAAAAAAAACTCTCTTATTAAAATGAGCAGGGAGAGGAGCTGCTTCACAAAAGTGCTGCTATTCTTCGACTCAAACTCCTAAAGTGAAAGGAACTCGAGAGAAATAATGTGGCTGCCCCACCACTGCTTATTCCACTTGATGTTAAATGTGAAGAAAAAAAAAATGAGGGAGAAGGAAGGAGCAGCTGATGGAGTTTAATCCCAGTCTCCATTTGGCAGCTTTCTAAATTTAAAAAAAAATGTGATTTTTTTTTTACCTTTTGTCACCCATGGAAAACCTTGACAAGGGAAAACTCAAGGCTGGGAAAACCAAACCAAGCATAACTTGAATATTCTGCCACCTGCACACATCAAATCTCCACCTTCACCTTGACATATCTGCTGGAATTTTATCTCTGGGTAATAAAATGAGAGTTTAACCTCCACTTTCCCACTGATAAACATATGCTGGTCTTAATGAGCCATGGATATTTTGGGTGTTTTGGAGGAGATCAAGCCTGGCTCTCTGGAATGTTTGACACCACTGAAATGTCAGCCAGGCTTTGTGAAAGTGAAGCTCCGTGGTCCAGTGCACTTCTCATCTGAAACAGTTTCACAACCCAAGAATTTGTAGTTTATTTACTCCATACCATTAATTTTATTGGAGGAAAGCTCCATTTTCTGCAGGTGAATGTATCCAGAGAGAATGCTGATGTCACTCAGCTCTCGACCCTGGAAAAAGGAAAGGAAGGGATTTTAATCATGATTTTAATAACCGGCTGTGTAAACTCGCACATTGGAGAGGAGCCCCAAGGTCCCTCCAGCTGCAGCAGCAGAACAAGGTGACATCTACACAAAGTGATGCTGGAGCAGCCAGAAATGGAGAAAATGCCAAAAAAAAAATGACTTTGAAACAACAAAAAGAGAGCTGCAGCCAGGAAAAACGCCAGGAAAGCAAAGCTGTGTGGAAAAGAGAGGAACAGCAGAGAGCTTTGAAAAGACACAACCACTTTAACCTCCTGAACGCAGCATTTCCAGGTGTTTTACACATTCCTCCACTTTTTTCCCTCCAGCTGACTGGAGCAGGAAGATACATTTTTCACACCTGAGGACTGGATCAAAAATCTCACTGCTGATGTTACTACATGAAAAAAAAACAAACCTCTGGCAGTCAACAGGAGCATCTCTGAGTCTTATCAAAAACCCTGTACATGAAACAGGCAGAGACAAAAATCTGCCTCTTGGCATTTTTTTTTTTTTAAACAAAGCCAACTATTTGCTGTTGAAAAAAGGAAATATTTGTGCAGAAAAGCACCTTAAACTGATGTTTTTTGCTTGTACTTACTGGAAGTGACAGATGAAGATAAGCATATTCAGTCCCAGGGGCTGAGTAGCCCAAGGTGTGGAGTCCCTCAGCAGCAGTGTCTTCATCCAACACCCCCTTCAGCTGCTCCTAAAAACACCAGGAACAGGGAAAAATGGATTAAGGGGAGATTCATGAAGGGAAATTCCACACTTGGGGGAATCCAGAGGGGTTCCAGTGGGAGCAGGGTTGATAATTCAATCTCAATCTCAATCAAATCAAGCTCAATCAAGTGCTGCTTCCAGTGTTTCACCACCCCACTACAAAAAATTATTATTGGGGGGAAAAAACGATTATTAGGGAAAAAACCCTGCCCTCCAAACAGCTAAACAGAAACGTGCCACGTGCCAGCTCCATCCATTTGAGAAGGCTCATCAGGTTTTTGCTGGGATGTTTAATTTTTCCCTCCTGGATGAAGCACAGGACCCGTTCCCTGGGATGTTGAGCCACGCAGCTCATACTGATTACAGATTTTAACATCCCGGCATTAACAGGGTGCTGCACCCCAAAATGCACATTACTGGAAGCCCTTTCCATTTGTTTGGTGTGAAAAACGAGGTTCATGTATTTTTTATATAAAATTTTAGACGTTTAATAGAAAGGCAATTAGGAGATAGAAATAAAGTAAAATATACAAATATGGCCAGGTGCCTCAGCATTCAGCTGAGGGCGCACCTTACTGACAAAGGATTGTCCCTTAAAAACAGAACCCTATTACATATTTACAAATTCTCATGCGTAATTCAAACATTTCTCTTAAGTTTCAGATGTTTCTTTGTTTAGTTTTAACTCGCCCCCTTCCCAATAGATCAATCTTCTCTCTTCAGCCTCACACTCTGTGGTAACAGAGGTGAAATAAATTCCTCCCCTGGAACACTGGTCACTGCTGTCTTCATCTGGATAAAATAATCTAAGAATGCAGGGGGTCTCTGACTGTCTTTTCAATCTCTGGTTTATACAAACAAAAGTAGTTTTTGCTTTAATATCATGTTATAGCCTAACATATCAATGTATTATACCACTATTTCTAAGTTTCATCGATAACAGAGTAAGCTATATTAATACAACGAAGTTTCCTAACCTTACACATGTAACATTCATTTTAATATCTGCGAAAGGCCAATAATATAATTTGTATCTATAACATTTGGCATGAGCAGCTCAGCGCTGCTCCTGAGAGGAGAAATCTTTGCCAAAGAGGCTGCTTTGACAGATGGCACTAATGAACCACGGCGTGGCTTTAATGAGAAAATCAGCCAATGGTTTGTGAAATTCCCACGAGCTCGGAGGAGCCACAAGACAATTGCTAACCCAGGGAGCGAGAAAAATAATGGAATCACCTAAATTACAGCACCTACGTGTTACAGCACGGGAGAGCGCCGAATAATTTCCACAAGGCAAAGTTATCAGGTGATATTTTGTGGTGTTGGGATTTCAAGCCCAGCAGGGAAGGGAGAGAAAATCCACACGTGTCCATGGGGCTTAGTGAAGCTCAGGGCTGGGAATTTCAAGAGGAAATGGGGTTAATTTGGCCATACACGTGCCAATTTATCTTATATGGCCAGGAGACTTGGCAGTGCTGGGTTAGTGGCTGGAATTGACAATCTTCAAAGGTTTTTTTTCCAATCTAATTGATTTTGTGAGCGAGAGGGACAATCTAGGAGTACCCTAGACGCCACGGGGATGGAAGGGACCCTAAACAAGGCAGAAATGAGAGGTGAGCGGGACACAAACCCAATTACCTGATGCTCCCATTCCCTCCCCCTTCTTTCCCCACATCTACACTGAGTGATGAGGGGGGAAAGGGCAGTTCCCCCACAAGCACACACCCCTCCCCAAACAGCTGGGGAGCCCCGGGTTGAACCTCTGAGCGCTCTGACTCTTCCTCTTCGCCGTCCTCCTCTTGCTCATCCTCGCCGTGAGGCGGGCCGGGCTGGGGCTGCTCCTCGGGGAACCCCTGAGTGAGGGGCTGCGGCGGCTCGTGAGAAGGAGGAAGCGGTTCCCCGAGGATGCCTTCTCCCCCTTTCTGCTCGCCGCCCGCCATGAGCTGTGATAAGGAAGGAGCAGATAGAGGGAACTCCGCTATCGGTCCCGTCCCCGGTCAGGCCTGGCCGCAGCCATTTGTTTACTGGTTGCCATGGAGACGCCTCAGAGGGCGGTAATTCGCGCCAACCACTCAACCAGCCAATAGGAGCGCACAGCTTGCAGCAGTGCAGCATGGGAATTGTAGTTCTCAGCGCGGTGCCCCCTCGCGGTGCCCACCACGCCGCGGAGCATCTTGGGAGTTGTAGTTCGCCTCCCTGAAGCGGCCATTGGCCTCGCTCCTTCTTCGAGGTGCAGAACAAGCATATGAACGATATAAATGTATCAGTTTAAGGAGATAAAGAGGCGCACAAAGACTCTCTGACGATAGAGCCTTTACTGCTGCCTCAGTATTTGGAGGGAGACCGAAGAGTTTATTCTACAAGCCCGATTTGCACGGGCACCCTAGGATGCTGCCTGTAACATGCGACTGTTCTATCCCATTGGGAAGGGCCGAAAATAGCATAATTTCAGGGCGAAAAGACTGAAGGGGGAGACACCTCCTCGTGTTAGGAATCAGTAAATGGCTATATCTTCTCCTGCCTGAAGAGATGAGTGAGTTTTGTGCCTCCAATTGCACTGGGCAGACCTGGGAATATTAATTTTATATATATATACATATGTGCAGACATATAAATATAAATATAATCTCTGGTACTATACTTTCTGTCACAACACACCATTAATGCTCCATAAGTTGGTGGTGAACTACTGTTTTTCCTTAAGAAAAAGGCACAATTTCAGAACTGATGGAAAAAAAAAATCTATATAATTTTGCCAATTTTTTGGGAAATAACAAGAGATGAGACTCACGGCAGGGGAAAGCAAAACTACAGCTTTTGAGATATCTTTGCGTGTTGTCCTGTTTTTATATCAAGTGTCTCTCACAGACACCAACCTGCTCCTAATACAAATTTGACATAAAAGATGTTAAAGATATTTGAGTTTTCAGGTCTAACATCCACCTTCTTTTTTTTTTTTTTTTTTTTTTATTTTAACATTGCAGAATGGGGTAAAATGAGAATGAAAATAAAGGGGAAAAGGAGGAGAAGATGTCTCTAAATACAAGTCCTTGCAAGATAAACGAGGGGAAAGAACTTATCCATGAGGTGAAACAATTTAACTTTGGGGATGGGGTTATTGCAGTGAATTTCCATTGTTGGTAAAGTGACAAAGTCTTTGAACGAGGTGGTTTATTGCTAAGAAAAAAATGGAGAGGCAGAGATAAAAACTCCTTATGGACATTACTCGCTGACTTTTATCTCTGCGCTTCAGGGAAACATTATGATAAGTACAATAAAGCCACCCCAAATTAAATCCTTTTATTATCTCGCTGGTCATAAATGTTAAAAACCCTTAATGGGATTTATTCCTTTTCCACTGAGCGCTCCCGCAGCCCCCGGCACCGACGGCTCTGCTCCGGCTGCTCCGGGGATGGGCAACAAAGGGAAAGGCTGGAGAGCTCAGAAAGGACAGAAAACGCTGGAAGGGAAGGGGGAGCCCTGTCTGGGAGTGGGGTTTGGGGTTTGTTGTGACCCTGGAGAACAATTCTGGATCAGCAGAGCTGCAAAGCCACGCAGGAGCTGCTCAAGGGCAGAGATTTGTTTGCTCCCTGTCGTGCTGCTGTGGTTGTTCCAAGCTCTCCGGGATGTTCTCCTTCCCAAACCCTGCTGGTTTATAGGCCACATCTGCAGGCTTTGCCTTCTGCAAACTGCAGGATCATCACCCCCTGCTTTGCTCCTGCACCAGGGAATTGGGCCTGGTGGGGCACAGAGGGGTGAGGTGTTTCCCCAAATATTCCATCTCATTTTGAATTTCAAGCACTGCTTGGCTGCAGTGTGAAACATTCCCCAAATTCTCCTGGCTCTGGAACAGCAAACACTGACTGACCATTAAAAATAACCCCAAAAGCCAGAGCTGAAGCTGTAAATCTGCAGTTATCGTCCTCATAAAACCTCCCCACTATTGACAGAGGGAGCACTTCCTGCTCGGGAGTGTTAATTGCAAACACTGGCCTTAAATACATTGATTTATTGTTCAATTATTAAAACAATCAGCTCCCAAATCCGTGCCACATGCAAAGCAGATTTATGGGCAGCCCTCTGCACTTGTTAAAGCCCACACAAATTCACTCAGCGGTTCACCAGGAAGCTCCAGGCAATAACAGGACCCAGCTGGGTGTAGGGAAGAGGAGGAGGAGGGAACTCCAAATGCTCCTGAGTAGGAAGAGAAGTGAGTTTGGAAAGCAGGCAACTTAAATCCCATTAAACTCAGCTTTGTAGGTCCAGCTTTCATGGTGGTGGGGCAGAGGTGGGAATTTATTTGACACCTTTCCCAGGGCTGTGTGTCCTGGGATTCCTACTGGGAGCACATCCAAGCTCCTTAAATCAGTTCCCTGCAGGTGATGGCTGGGGTTGACTCATTTCCCCACGATCTTCTTGTGTTTCTTGCTGAATCTTCCCAAAATTTTGCGCTAGGGGCTGGAGGCAGGAGTGTCTGTGTCATATCAGAGGTGGCTGCCTGGAATGTGGAGAAGGCCCCATGTGGGGACAGCTGCCAGCACCCTGCAGGGATCTGGAAAGTCTTGGGTCAGGGCTCAAGAGTGGCTTGGGACATCGCAGAGTTGTTGGAAAAAGACTGCAAAGGTCATTGAGTCCAACAGTTCCCAGCACTGCCAGGGCCACCAGTGACCCATCTCCCCAAGTGCCACCTCCATATGGATTTTAAATCCCTCCAGGGATGGGGATTCCCATCCTGGCAGCTGTGCCAGGGCTGGACAGCCCTTTCCAGGAAGATTTTTTTAACCCAATATCCACTCTGAGCCCAGCCTGAGGCTGTTCCCGCTCCTCCTGTCCCTGGGAGCAGAGCCCGACCCCCCTGGCTGTCCCCTCCTGGCAGGGAGTTGTGCAGAGCCACAAATTCCCCCTGATCCCCCTTTTCTCCAGGCTGAGCCCCTTTCCCAGCTCCCTCAGCCTCTCCTGGTGCTCCAGATCCTTCCCAGCTCCCTTTCCTTCCCTGGACAGGCTCCAACACCTTTTCACGAATGGCCAGAGCTGTCCCCAGGATTCCAGGGGATCCCTCAGCAGGGCCAGCACAGGGGACACTCCCTGCCCTGGGGCCATCCTGGGCCCAGCTCTCTCTCCTTAGTCCTGGCTCTGCTCAGCCCATCAGAGCCCAGCCACAGAGAGGGGACTCAGCCTGGAGCAAGAGCAGCAGCTCTGCCCTGTCACCCTGAGAATCAGACCTTTCAATATTGTTTTCATAATTTCTAGCCACTTTCCCAGGAAACTAACTATAAACACAGGTGTTTATACATTCCATTAAAGATTTGCCTTTTGATGGACGTCTCTCACGGCCAGTGTGGTTGGGAAGGTGGTGACCTGACTATCCAATCCCTGGTCATTGTCAAAACCTATAAATACTGAAAGAACAAACAAATTTCCTTCTTTCATCTCACTTGGAGCTGCATCTGTGTGAATCATTTTGTGTCTGACAGTGACGCTGTCCTGTTGGGGTCAGAAGCACAGAAGATGTGCCCTTGTCTGTGGTGCCTGACACCCGAGAGAGCTCTGAGTTTGGCACAACACCATGGAGATAACTTTTAAAGTTAAGCAGAAAAACCGGGAATGTGTGTAAGTAGATAGAATTTTTGTAAGCCACTGGGTGAGAAAGTTAGAGTTCAGAGTTTAAGCTATTTGAGAAAATAAGAGACAATATGGAGGACTTAGGGCGTTGTCCCGTTCTCCTTCTTCCTTCTTCATCATCTTCTAAGATTTTTTGGGTAATAATGAGTGTTTGGATAAAAAAATCCACAGTGCAGGACACAGGTGTGGGGTGATGGGGTCACTAAGAAAAATAACTTATTTTCCATTTGATTACTGGACAAATAGACACATAAAATACCTTGGAGAGATTCTTCTCAATTTTGCACCTTTCTGTCTTAGTAGCTCCTTGTGTTCATGTAATATAGATAAGGAAAGAATAAACAACCAAGCCTGAACACGAGAAAACAGCCTCTGTCTCGTTAATCTCAGTCCTGGGGAAAAAGAACCCAGCCACCAATGTCACACCCCGACACTGCCCCAGCTGGGGGACAGAGGCACAGAAAACAACCCTAATATTAATGAAAGTCCCCACAGGCCTTTGGAAGTGCTCCAGGGGCAGGATTCCACCTGCTCTGTGTTTCCCTCTCCTTTTCCCTCCTCTCTGACAGCGGCTGGGTGCCACGGGATGAGCTGAGGCAGCCTGAGAGGGGATCTGTCTGTGCCAAACACATTTCATGCTGCAGCTCAGTAGAGGAAATTACAAACACCCAAGTCCAAGGCCTGAACAGTCCAATTTTCTCCCCTGATTGCCACTGTGCCTCAGCTTAACAGAGTAAATAATGAACACCGATGCAATGAACTTCCCAATAAATCACTCCTGATGAATTTCACACAGGTCATCCAAAAGCAAATTTAATGATTATATGCTGGCCGCAGCCACCTCGTTTTTTTCTGTTCCCGGCTCAGTGGTTAGATCCAATCGGCAAAGGAAGGAATGGAAAATAAAGCAAAACACCTCATTTCTGAGCACGCTCCCTGCTCAGTGCAAAAGCGGGAACTTGAACTGCAGGGCACGGGCAGCTCCAGCTCGGATTAGGATGGAATCCTAATTTCCCGGCCAGGAATGAAAGAAAAAAGGGCCAGTCCACCAGGGACTGAGTCCTGGAGAGCAAGGTTTGACTTCCCTGGATCTCAGCTTCCTTTGGAATTTATCATCTGTCCTCAGGGCACAACATTCCCTGCTCTGCACTCACAGCCTCGGACATCCAGGCTCAGGTTGCTCCTGGGATAGAACTGATGTGGGTCTCTGGGTATTTAAAGGATGGTGGGATGAATCCCTGGGTAATAAATCCCTGGAATTACAGCACAGGCAGCTTTGTGGCCAAGATCTGCGGTGCTGAGCGTGACTTGTGTATCA